CGGATCTCGCGCCAACTTGCGGGCCATCGTTCCAATGCATACCAATGAAGCACATACACCCCGTCTACACGTTGGCCAATGCTATTGGCCACTACATTCGCCACTGTGTTGGCCAACGTGTAGAGGCGCCGTTAGCCAATGCTATTGGCCACTACATTCGCCACTGTGTTGGCCAACGTGTAGAGGCGCCGTTACTCGAATATACTTACAATAAATAAATGTGTGAATAATTCAAGCAGTCATGATGTATAAAATAAAACTAAATTTACGGATTTTATCGCGTTTATTTCACTACTTTTACTTATTTTTTAATTCCCGACGTTTCGGGTGCTTTACAGCAACCATGGTCACGGGGGGGGACTGAGATGTTTGACGTCCCAATGTCATAGTTAGTCCGGCTACCTTCAGTTTTTGAATATTAATTTTTTGGTCCGATTTACGCAAAACGAGCTTATAGTATCATGAAGTCTTGCCGTTGTATGCTTAGGTTTGGGTTTAATCAGTTAATCAGTCCCCCCCGCGACCATGGTTGCTGTAAAGCACCCGAAACGTCGGGAATTAAAAATAAGTAAAAGTAGTGAAATAAACGCGATAAAATCCGTAAATTTAGTTTTATTCAATGTGTAGTGTTCGCGTAAATTTAAAAAATAGTCATTATGTAATTAAGCTCTTTAACCTTGTTCTTAAAGTAGTATGATAAGACTTGAAAGAAGTATCCAAGATTGATTTACCTTTCAGCCACATTAATGGTCTGTAGCGGGCAATCGTCAAGGTGCTCCGTCACAAATTGGTTTGAGAGCCAATACGATTTCAAGGTGTGAGGCATTGATTATCTTAGTCCTCAGGGGTGAGAACACGTCTGTAGTTCTCTTCATTTGAAGTTGGCTGCAGTAGCCCACTTACCATCAGGTGGTACTTGTAAGTTGGTTTGTCACATTTGCTTTATAAAAATATGTCATAATGCTCCTTTATATCTTTCTACGTTTATACTATCATAAAGTAAAACAAGGCAAAATTACTATTAAATTGAAACAAAATATTATTAAACAGATCCATACTTAATACTTCAATATATCGAAAATAGCTTTCAGTTGACCTTTTTGCAAAAATTTAGAAAAGAATGGACGTCAGTTACGTACATTGTTTTTCATTATGTGAACATTCACTCTTACTTTAAATGCAGTTTATGAAAATTATTATCGAAAATAAAAAATAATTTCGATCATGAACTGATTTTAAAATTAAAAAATTTAATAGGTCCAGTCATGGAGGCACTCCTCTCCCTGGACATCCACAAGTCGAGTGGGCCTGACGGAATCCCCCCAATTATGCTGAGAACGTGTGCTCCAGAGTTGGCATCGGTTTTAACGCGTTTTTTCCGGTACTCCTACTCCCTAGGCATAGTCCCAAAATCATGGAAGACGGCTTTCGTCCACCAGATCCCTAAAAAAGGCGACCGCTCAGAAACGTCCAACTACCGGCCTATCGCCATCACCTCCTTGTTCTCCAAAACAATGGAGTCAATTGTAAACTGCCAGCTCATGAGGTACCTTGTGGATCACCAGCTGATTAGTGACCGCCAATACGGTTTTCGCCGTGGTCGTTCAGCTGGTGATCTTCTGGTCTACCTAACTCACAGATGGGCGGAGGCAGTAGAGTCCAAAGGGGGAGGCATTGGCCGTTAGTTTGGACATTGCGAAGGCCTTCGATCGGGTTTGGCACAAAGCGCTTCTTTCGAAGCTCCCTTCCTATGGGCTTCCCGAGAAATTGTGCGATTGCATCACCAGCTTTCTTGCAGATCGGGACATCAAGATCGTTGTAGACGGAGCAAGCTCCGATTGCAAGCCTATTAATGCTGGTGTTCCACAAGGCTGCGTGCTATCGCCAACGCTGTTTCTTCTGCATATCAATGATATGTTGCAAACCCGTAACATTCATTGCTATGCAGATGACAGCACTGGTGATGCTCTTTACACCGGCCGAGCCAATATTTCTCGGGAAAACGTCTCCGAGTGCCGGGACAAACTTGTGTCTGAAGTCGAGTCTTTGCTGAACAGAGTCTCGGATTGGGGGCGACTAAATCTAGTCCAGTTTAACCCCTAGCAGACACAAGCTTGCGCGTTAACCGCTAAAAAGAACCCCTTTGTCGTATCTCCTCAGTTTCAAAGCACTCCCCTTGTTGCCTCAGCCAGTATCGGAATCCTCGGCGTCGACATATCGAGTGACGTGCAGTTTCGTGGTCACTTGGAAGAGAAGGCCAAACTGGCCTCTAAAAAGCTTGGCGTGCTCAGCAGAGCGGGACAGTATTTCATGCCGGCACACCGCCTGCAACTTTACAAAGCGCAGGTTCGGCCGCACATGGAATACTGTTCCCATCTCTGGGCTGGGGCTCCCCAGTACCAGCTCCTTCCATTTGACCGCATCCAGCGCAGAGCGCCTCGAATCGTCGACGACCGAGTGTTTTCCGATCGGCTCGATTCACTGGCACTGCGAAGAGATGTTGCATCTCTTTGTATTTTCTTTCGCATATACCATGGAGAGTGCTCTGAGGAATTATTCGGATTAATTCCAGCCGCCAATTTTCGTGAAAACACTACGCGGCAAACTTCCCGATACCATCCACACCATCTGGATGCTTGGCGGTCCACCACTGTACGTTTCAAGAGGAGTTTTCTTCCGCGTGCAACCTCTCTGTGGAATAGTTTACCACCAGCGATTTTTCGGGACCGATACGACCTGGGGACCTTCAATAAAAGAGCGTACTCCTTTCTAAAGGGCCGGCAACGCACCTGCAATTCCCCTGGTGTTGCGGTTGATCATGGGCGGCGGTAGTCACTTAACATCAGGTGAGCCGCATGCTCGTTTGCCCTCTCTTCTATTAAAAAAATGGATTTATTATGTCTTTTAAGGCCGCTATTACACTATCAAATAAGTTTAAGAAAACTATTACAAGTTTAATTTGTACATTTTACTCACTAAACTGTCATAGTTCTCTCATATTTCTATGAATCATATAAAATCTGTAATCATACATAATATGATAATGCAGAACTGTTAACGTCCCATGACAATTGGATTGGTCGAAAGTTAATAAATAATTCAGCCGATGAATTGGCCACGTCACGTCACTAAAGTGAAAATGCTGCGACGCGACGGATGGGTGGCGCGATCCGACACGCTTCATCAAATGCCCAACGAATGTAACATGTGTTTTACATTCATAGCATCGTTTGGAAGATGCAAGAAAGACAATAATGGATAATCGAGAGATGGAAAACCTTCGTATTTTATGAATAATTGAGTTAAAAAATGTCTGACTTAAGCAAGCTAATCGTCGTTAAAGTTAGCTTCTTTATCCTGAGGTACTTCTTCTTCTACGGTCTTTTTAAGTCCACAGGTGGGCATGGGACTCTCCTGTTGTTAAGAGAACCGTCACGCTTGGCAGCGGGTATGACAATGGGGTACCAGTCTCGCAATTTTGGCGGCGCTCCGTCTTCAGTCTGAGGTCAACGAGATGGTGTCTCGTCCTCGTATGACCCCTAATATTTATTTTACAAGCCTATCTTATCACGATGGCTTTGGAACAGACACAAGCTAGCAGTAGTACCAGTTACTCGACTCCACCGAGTCAGTAATTCATTCTTAGGGCGATGTATACGCTTTTATAACAAAATCCCAGAAAGTATACAAAAATTGGACCTATTCAAAGTTCAAAAATTTTATTAAACTAAGTTTGTATAAATTGTACTTAAAAAACCTAACGATTTGAGCGTAACGTAAGGGAGTGGGAGGGTTACAAAATTGCAAAAAAAACGTTGTCTTGACATTCGTGCGTGGTTGACTTTTTTATTTGGAAAGAAAAGTGTAAAAAAAGACATGCCGAAATACTAAAAATCGTTTATGCAGATGAGAGCGTGCAGCTGGAGTAAAGCATGTATCTCCCACTCCGCATCTCTTCCGTTTCACTTCTTCCTTATCTCTGACTCTTTCATGCCATCCTCACTCCAATCAAAATTTATGGTTATTGAGGAGAAAAAGTTCATAAAAAAATAAAAATATTTCTATTAGTCAGATTATTAATATCCCTCAAAATAATCGTCAGAGTTTAAGCTACCATAACTGGGACCTCGAGCTAATCTTATGTATAATAATCTGACACGCTCGTGTATTTTAATATGGCGATTTTTTTTTCGCATTTTCAAAATTTTCTAAGAGCTCGTGTCACATCCGAATCGTCCGGCTTTTGAATGGGAGTTATTACTGTAGTAGTTATTACGTTTTTGAAAATCTGTAGAGCTGTACACGCTTCCCATACCAATGGAAGGGGACACATTATATAACTTTTTTTTCCTGTCAACTAATCTACAAAATTTAATAGGTCCCCACGACGCTCGAGTAAATTACCCAATTAGCGTCATGCACCCGCCTATTATTATGAATGATTACAAATCCTTACAGGTGATCGCTTCCAAGCTATTTCTAATTTGTTTTGTGTTGTTAATTGTGTAAACATACATGATTGCAAGCTGTTATTTTTTTAAAGTCCCGACAGAGGTTTTTTTCCGAACCAGTGGTTAACAAAGGAGTGACTTTTAATAAGTATTATTTATAATCTATATTGAAGTAAAGAGTTTCTGTTTCTGATGTAAGCCTTCATCATATACTCCACATAGGAAACCGGTACACAATAGCCTGCGGAGATTAAACTCTCTTGACATTTATTATGAAGTCGAGCGCTATTTTACAATTTCGGCAGTGAAGGAAACCATGTCTGAGGAATAAAATTCTTTGAGGACATATGAAGTCGCCAACAAGCCCTGCAGTTGCTCCATGACACTCTCAGAAATGAGATGAAGTCCGTGTGCATATCCAGCAGTAGTATAATATATTTATAAGCTGTAAGTTTACCTTTTATAATTTTATAATTTAAGTCGGGCGCTTATTTACTGAGCTTCTATGTGGTGCTTTAACATTTAGGAATGTATATATAAAATACTTACGCTTCGCAGTAGGGCAGTTTCCCGTAGCCCTTGTAGGTGCGCATGTTGAGCGTCATACCGCACTCCTGACATTTGAAGCAACCTTTGTGCCACACCTGATGACAAGCGAACAAACATTCAATAAGCATTTACAAATATATTTATATATATATATATATATATATATATATATATATATATATATATATAATATAAAGTAGTTAGATGTCGGTTTTATAGGCTACATTCTACTCTTTATATTAATTGATGAACTATGTCTGGGTCTGGAGGTAATTTTATTACATTTTCATTTTATATGTACAATAATATGTTGCCATCCACACCGGGAAACCAATCAACTGATTTGTTTTTCTTCATCACCAGTCTGTGAAAATCCCACTTGCACACGGGCCCCTCCCGCGTACAGGAACAGGCTGATCAACGACCGCAGCACCAGTACGTGGTGCGTGCTAGAGCCACGCTGCAGCTATGTTGTGGTTGTAGCACGAATGGGTCGGCAAGACCAGGGAAGGGCCACGCTCTCACAGGATACCAGCGTGAAATAGTGGCTTAATGCTGCTGTGTTTCTTATGGTGAGTGTAGAGAACCAGAGACCCTTTTTACTGGAAACGAGGCATTCTATCTTAGTCCTCACGGGTGACGACTCATCAGCATTTTGATTTGTAATCGAGGATAGATGCAATTTCTACAGGCCACAGCAGTCACTTGCCATCACGTGGACTATGTGCTCGTTTGTCACCCTATCCCATAAAAAAGTCGTATCTTGTGAAACCCAAGAGACCAAATGTCACGTCAAATTAACGAAGTACTTTATTTTGACAAAATAAAACGACTACTCAACGGCATAATTAAACCGAAATAAAATAACTTTAAATACCTAAATGAATAAGCAGATGGTTTCATCACATTGACCTAAATGAAACGACCCAATGAATGGGGAGCAGTGCTGAGGTAATGATTTTCTCAAATAACCAACCGAGAACAATACGACAGTTAAGCAATACACCCGACATTCTCCAAGGATTAGCACATCTATTGCATCTGAATAGATTTATTGCATACAACAAAACGAAGAATTTTACATAATATGTATTTATATTAATATAACAAAGAAAGAAATATTTTTAGTTTTGAAGCTACAAAACAGATCGCACGTGATTTAATTTATATTTTAGAATAAACTATTGTTGCAATAAATAGGCATCCGAATCAGCATGATGGTGGGATAATCACGGCGCTAAGATTCGTGATAAAACTCATGAAGTCGGCTCTGGTTACAGTCTGCGCTCTTCGACTTGCCTGTCTCGCTTGACGACAATGTGGAAACTTTTTTAGTTACACATTATTGCCACAAAAGGCTAATAAAGAAGCTGTTTTATTTTTTTAATTAGATGATAAAAATTAAAAAATATTTAATAAATAGCGTTGGCCGCTCCCCGGGCTGAACACCTTGCCCAGCGGGAGATCTCCCCTTTTCCTTCCATGGCCACAGTTCGAACAATATTAAACGCTTCTTATCTCAATTCCTGCAGTGCAGTTATGTAACTTTGTTAAGAATAGTGATTGGCTTTTCAATATCGATTGTAAGTTGATGTCTTTTTGGAATGTGCCTCAAAGGGAAACAACCGGAACCCTTATGGGATTACTTTGTTCTTTAGATGCTTGCATGTTTATACATACAGGTAGTATATAAAGTTTTACGACATTCATGTATCGGTGTTGATAACAGACAAAAATCGTCGAGACTTATTAACTTTATTCGGAAACCTCAGGGCACGAGTTATACTCGCTCATGTCCGGGATTTTTATCTTTTAGGATTTTTAACTTTTCAATTTAAGGGGAAATATAACCTCAAATGGCTTAGCAAGATCCTCCGTTATGCCGAAAGTATTGCAGCATTAATTTTGAAATAAATATATGGTAAAGTTGAGGATTAATGTTAAGGTTTATGTTAGACGAAAACACGATTCCGTAAAATTTTCTCGATAGAAAAAAAATCCAAAGTTACCTCCAAACTGAACAACAGGAACCAAGCTTACGCGCCGATAGTTTAGGTAATTTCTTTTTACAGTGAAAATAATGATATTTTAAAAAAAGTAAATAACATAAGCACTGCTTTATGGTTAGTTCAGTTAGTATGCAAAGTTTCATGATCTTATTTAAAGTATTTTATGAATAACAGCGGTTTATTGTTCAGTTTGGAGGTAACTTTGGATTTTTTTTCTATCGAGAAAATTTTACGGAATCGTGTTTTCGTCTAACATAAACCTTAACATTAATCCTCAACTTTACCATATATTTATTTCAAAATTAATGCTGCAATACTTTCGGCATAACGGAGGATCTTGCTAAGCCATTTGAGGTTATATTTCCCCTTAAGGTCACAATATATCATAATATGAAGAAAAAATAATGCAGCTTGCGGAGTGATTCTTCTCAAGGGCAAACGATTCGCACCATCACAATCTTAATCATTGTTTTGATTTCTTAATTGCATCATCTCCGAATTTTTTTACAATAAACATTATAATCATTAACGCAAACAAGCCATTAAATTTTATCTCAGACTCCTCCATGACGAACACGATAAGATGATAAGAGAGTAAACTAAAATATTTAAAAGTAAATAAATCCATGATACGAAACAAGTTGGATCAAGGATAAGGGTATAAAGTCAATTTACATTATTTATTGTTACTGATCGTTAAAACTTAAAATCGTTAAATTAAACCGAACAAAACAGCAAGTAAGTAAGTACTTTATATTAGTTGTACAATAATATTTCACTATAAAATTCGCACTAAACATAACTAAGTATACGAATAATGAATTTTAAGTAAGAATTTCGGCCACAATTCGCACATTCGCCTCGGACAGCGAAATATGTGACCGCATTCCTCACGACCTTGTGGTATCGATTACGTAATATCGTCCATTTGGTAATACGTGAAAAGCGTGATGTCAACATTTTTTCTCACTACTTGAATGCCAGTTACATTATAAAGGAGATTTTTTTAAATAGTTCGCAATAAAGTGATTAGTGAGCAGCGTTAGCAGAATAACTACTTGAAAAATAAACATTGTAATAAATACTCTAATCGTAATCATTTATAAATACTACACAAACTACATTTAGAAAAACTTGCCTATCCAAAAGGCAGGCAATGTGTCTTCTGCTTCTCACGTCTAACCTTCTAGATGCCAGTAAAAGTTGTCGTTTCTGTTCACTAAACTGCAAATAATCAATATCTCCATTCTGATACGTCCATTAACTCTCTCTATCTCAAATAAAAATCACTTGGACGGTGTTCAAAAAAGTTACATTATATATTTTAATATATATATATATATATATATATATATATATATATATATATATATATATATATATATATCAATTGACTAACTCGTTGTGAGGCTGCTGATCATGAGGTCCTGGGTTCGAATCCCGGGTCGGGCCAACACAATTAATTATCGAGTTTTTCTTTTAAGAAATTCTCAGTAGCTGCCCGGAGTCAGGAAGTTGGCGGTGTCTCACTCACGTGCCTCGGAAATCACGTAAAGCCGTTGGTCCTGCGCCTGATCTCTCTGCGGTCGTGTAGGTTTACCGTCCCATTGGATTATGAGAGTGAGGGAATAGAGTGCACCTGTGCTTGCGCATGCATTTGGGCACTATATTCCTGTCCTGCGCCGATGGCTAGTCTCCGTTGAGGCAGGCTGCCGTGGTCGAAATTCGGTCTGCAGGATATTATTATTATTATATATATATATATATATATATATCAATATGTATTGCCACTTCATGTTTTTCTTTCCTTGGAGGAAGGCCAGTTTTATATTCAGGACAGTGAACATGTGAAGGGCTGTAATGAATTAATTTATTCAGGGGCTGTATTCACTAAGATTGTCGGCCATCAGTGAATAATAATACTGAGTGATGTCCTTGGTTGACAAAGCTTTAACGTACAAAGTAAAATTTATTAAATGTATGTATATTCAAGTTATAACTTTTATATTGTTGTGTGCGTCAATGGTTTGTCAGAATAAAGTTTCTTTCTTTCTTCTTTTATTTTGGACAATTTCCCTTCTTACATGCAACGTAGCAAGTAGCTACGTAAAATTATTTCTATCTTATATATACTACTATACTTATATAGCGATAGCGCATAGTCAGAGGCATTTAAGTATTGTTTTCATTACATTACGCACTAAAACTGTTTTCTTATCATAATATCATTAAGAAGTTACCACTTAACCACAAAATTGTTTTCATCTTATATATCCGATGTCCGTGTCAATGTCAAGTTTAGCGCATAGTCAGTTGCATTTCACACTGTTTTCATTACATTACGCACTAAAACATTGGCGTATTCTATAGAAAACTTATGCAATGACTTTACAGTTAAGTTATCTGAAGCTGTCTTAAATACATAGCAAATATTTTACATTATTATTTAGACTACATAAAAACGTTTTGTCTAATAAAACTGGAAATGAGATCAAACACTTCATTGGAATTTGACATTTAACGCGCAAATCAAATTTATTAGTTACCTATTAAAATTAACTTCCTGTCATCGTTTAAGGTTTTACAGCGGCGGGTGAACCTTAGGTTAGTTAAGACTAAAGTCGACTAACTTAAAGTTCACCCGCGCTACACAAGATTTTATTGTGTACTTATTGCGTTTGGAAATATAAAAAGCCACGCCCATTACCACACAAACACGTTTGTTTGTCAGTGAGTCAGCGCTCGCGAATAACGCATTCATGCTAGTTTCCTGCTACAAGTAATTATTCGTCTACGCTCCAGCTTGTGGATACAGGGCACACAATTTATAAACGATTTAGAGGAAGATTAATAAACGTGTTCCACAGCGAACGCTGTTCACGTATGACTAAGTTAAATTCAAATGAACTTAATTATAATATCGCTATAATTGCATATTTGGAACACAACAGTTTCTATGTCATTTCTAATAACGTAACACTACCATGACCTTCATATTCAGGATATTTATAAAGCATAAGCATAAAACTTTGACGGTGTCTGTATTT